CCGCCGCAGCCGCCTCCGCCGCCAAGTGTACTCTGTATTGTTTTTTTGAAAGGGATGGTGGGAGGAGGCCGCATCGGGTTCGCTGCGCATGCTCCGAATTTGGAGGCAGAGTGTTTTTTCTTTGTTTTTTTACCACGGATGGTGGGGGGTGCCCTCATTGATTCGGGTTGGCTACCAGTCGCCTGGGGGAGCGGGTGTATATTAAGAGGGAACAGTGATCAAGACTCCCTCCCCGCCCGCAAGCCGTCTTGCTCACTCCCACCCGCCCTCCCAACACATACGTAGCACCCGAATCTGGCCCGAGCCTCAGCATGTTCAGCAGTCTTGTTTGGATGGGCAGCTATTGGGGGCCAATCCGCCCCCTCCGCCGCCGCAAATGCCGCCGCCGCCGCCGCCGCTGCCCGTCGCCGCCGCCGCCGCCGCCCCCGTTGCCGAATCGCCGCCGCCGCAGCCGTTGCCGCCGCAGCCGCTGCCGCCACCGCCGCCGCCGCCGCCGCCGCTACCGCCGCCAAGTGTACTCTGCATTGTTGGTTTGACAGGGACGGTGGGGAGAAGCCGCATCGGGTTGGCTGCGCATCCTCCGAATTTGGAGACAGAGTGTGTGTTTGCAGTGTTTTTGTTGCAAGGGATGGGGGGGGGGGGCTACCAGTCGCCTGGGGGAGGGGGTGTTGATTCATAGGGAACAGTGATCAACCCCTCCCCGAAAATGGAAAGGGGGAGGTGGAAGTAGAAACGCTCCAGAACACCAACGCCCAGAGGGCTGGTGGGAAATCTCCCGGGTGGCCCTCGCGAGGGCGCTAAGATAAGATAGCCGCGAGTCGCACATCGCGGGGCGCGACGCAAAGGGGCAAGTGACATAGGGGATGGGGAGGAGCTGGTAAGGATATTCGGGCTGAGGGACAGGGAGGAGAGGAAAGCAGTGAGCACGCACAAATCAGGAGAAGCGGGCATTGAGTAAGTGGTGCACAGTGGGCAGTCGGCGGTGAGACGCGGACTGGAAAGCAGCGGGTATGGGGCAGGGCGTGGCGTGGTGGGGAAGCAGCGTGAAAGGAGTAATGAGCCGTGGGTTGCGCGTCAGGGATGGGTTGTGCGAAACATTGTGTAGTTGGTCGGGCGGGACATTGGGCGGTGAGCAGAGAGAACCATGAACAGCAAACGTGGGTCGGGGAGGTAAGAGCGTTGAGTAAGGCGTGGGGTGCGGGCAGTAGGTAGTGGTTAGCATGATGGGTGGTGGGCAGGGTTGGGAGTTCGGACGGGTTTTGAGCAACGAGCATGTCGACTGTGAGGAGCTGTCTGTTTTCATGGGCATGCAGTGGTGATTGAAGCGAGGTCGCCCGCGGAGGCGCGAAGGTAAACGCGGTTTGCGTATCGCGGTCTGGGCCGGAGAGTGTGCCAGTCTCCAGGGGGCGGTGCAAGGGCGCGACGACATCCGCGCAGAGAGGGACGCGATGCGCGGAGTTGGGTTACCGAGTTGAAGTGTATTTATTTGAGCAAAGGGGTACGAGGCAGGGAATGTTGAGCACTGGGGGGGGGGGAATTCGATACTTGAGTGATGAATGGTGTGTGGGGGGGGGGGTCTAGTACGTAGTGCGCGGATATGGAGGCCGTTGTGTGCACGGTATAAGGGTGTAATGAGTAGGGATACGATACCCACGCAGCCGAGACAGGGATTTCTATTGGCGCTCGCAGTGGGAGTCGGTGAGTGACAACCTATGGACCCATCGTCAAGAGACCCATCAGTCTCGAGTCCCCCCTCCTGGTGTCTGGGGGGCACCCTCCCCCTCCTGAAGGTCGGCGCCGGGGTGCGCCTCTCCTGCATCGACGTGCTCTCGAACGCCTCGCCACCGCCTCTCTCCCCACCCGCCTTTCCGCGCTGCCCCTGCCCCCGTCCGCCCCCCCGCTGCCGCACGCCAAGGCCTGAAGCCGACTCCGGGCCGCCTGGATCAAACCCACCGCGTGACGCTCGGATTCCCGCGAGCTCGCCCCCTCGAGCCAGGGCGTGCACTCGGCCCGAGGCTCGGCATCGCTCGGACGTGTGCATTTTTCCCTCGGCGAGGACCATCGAGGAGCATCCTGGATCATTTCGCGAAGAACACCGCGCACGTCGGCCCACCTCCAGGCCGCCGGCGCGGCGGCGCGAGGCTGCTCGCGCGCCCCTCGTCGGGGTGCGCGAAGCTCCTCCTCCTCCTCCTCCTCCTCCTCCTCCTGCTCCTCCTCCTCCTCCTCCTCCTGCTCCTCCTCCTCCTCCTCCTCCTCCTCCTCCTCCTCCTCCTCCTCCTCCTCCAGGTGGCCCGGGGGTTCTCCAGCAGTGGCGAAGCGTCCTGGCTCGCCTACAGCCCTACCAAACAATGTTCTAAGAACCTTCTGTGGTTTCCACGAGATGTAGTACTTGGAACATTTCTGGTTGATGTTGTCTTGGTTTAACACATCGGGCTCATGTTCTGAAAAACATGTTTTTGTTCTTAGAACATTTTTGGGTTCTAAAAACATTTCGTGGTAGGACTATAGGAATGCCGGGACGGTCGGTCCCTGCTCGAGATTCGTGGACCAGATTTGGCTTGCCAGCCAGTCACTTCCCGCTCCCGACGTGCCCAATCAGGCAACCACATGCGAGTCCTGCCCCACCACCCCGCCTCCCCCCTTAGAGATCGTGGGGTGGTGGGGTAGGGTTCGCATGTGGCCTCCTACCAAATCATCTCTGGCGCGTCCCCCGCTGCTACGCACGCTGTTCGAGTCGAGGGGCCGCTTACCCCAAAAAGTTGTGTCACCGTCTTCGCAGAGGTGCGAGTGTGTCATCCAGACGGCGACGCGTAGCGACGTGGGTTTGGACCAGGCGGCGACGCGGCAACGGTGACCCGAGTGCGGTCTTCGAGCTCGCAACGGTATGAATTCTTTACGAGCCTGTTGTGCCTTGACCCTATTCTGTCCGACACAATTCTTTCAAACGGCGCGAGCCTGCCGACCAATCATACCAGGACCATCAAACACGTTAATTTGTTTGCAGATGTTCTCCATCACTGTGCTCCCCTCTGTACGTGTCCGTCGCCCAGCATCACCCCACGTCACCGGGGCCAAATTCACAGCGCCATGTCTCATCTTCGGGATTTCAACTTTGCGAGTATGCCAACGAAGCGTAACAGGCGTAAAGTGTCCGATGTTCGACGTATGATTGATTACGCCGAGCGGGAGACACGGCAGACACCACGAGGAAGTTGAGCACGCAAATCCTTCAAGCAGTGAGGGCGCAAAGGCATGGAGTGAGCCAGAGCAGGAGGAGGAATCGAACGTGTCTTGGGGTTCCGTTGAAGCCGCTTAGAGGCTGTCTTGGGACCAGCAGAGGCACAGCGTGCGGATTCTTGACCGGCGCGAAACAAAAGTTTGCCCTCAACCAGTGTGCCCACCATTCAGAGCTGCTGTTGGCCAAACCCCGAGGGTATGAGCCCTGCCTCTCACCGCCCACCAAGCCGCCCCAAGCAGGGCCGACGTGCGGAGGGAGCCAAGAGCTTGCCCGTGAGGTGTGGGGCCCGAGTTCCCCCTCGCCCACCACCTACCAAACCACCCCAACCCAACCCGAAGGCCTCCATTTGCCCTCCATTTCCAGTGGGGGGGGGGTCGGGGAACATCGAAAAGACACGTATGGAACCCATACCCCCCCAACCCGAAATTCGGGTCTTCGGGTTGGGTTGGGGTGGTCTGGTAGGTAGTCACTCGCCCACGTGGAAGGATCGGAGGTTGACAGACCTCCTACCCGGACACGTTGATTAGCGAATTGGCCGTTTTCGATCCTCGAGAGGGCCTCGCGGCCGTCGTCTTTGCGGGTCCAGGCCCGTTGGTTTCGGCCCTAGGCCGTTTTCACTAAAGGGTGGTTTACTAAAGGGAGGCTTGTCCACCGCCGAAACATACTTATACTATATGTGCGTCGCCCCCCCAGGGGCGACGCGCGCACCGAGAAATCTTATAGTATAGGCGTCGTGGCGGGCGCTTTCTGGCCACACCGCTCGGGAAACGATATACTACAAGATGGGTATACTATATGTTCGGGTCGGACGCGCGCCTCCAAGGCGGACATATAGTATTAGTATGTTTCTGCGCGTCCCAGAGAGGAAGCCCACCGGGGTCGAGCTCCTCTGCACAGTGCGTCGGGCTCCAGAGAGAGAGACGTCGCTCCATATCTGCGTGCCGATCCCTCTCCATCGGTTGCCCGTCGCGTTCCGGCCCCCCCCTCCTCCCTCCTCCTCCTCTCCCTCCTCCTCCTCCTCCTCCTCCTCCTCCTCCTCCTCCTCCTCCTCCTCCTCCGCCTCCGCCGCCTCCTCCGCCTCTTCCGCCTCCTCCGCCTCCTCGGCCCCCCCCAGAGGCAGCAGAAGCTGAGGGCGCACATCCAGGAGTGCCAGGAGAAGGCAAAGGCTTTCGATCGCCAGATCGGCGAGAAAACGAAGAGGCGAGACAAGGTCTTCTGAGGAGGGCAGAAGGATGATGAGGTCTAGAGTGAACTCAGCACACACACACCACTGATGCTGCATTGTGCATTCCCGACCCAAGTTCCCTCTTACCGTGTTAACGTTCGAGCCTCCTTTTCGGCTTGGGCTGTGTCTAGCGTTCGGCTTCCAGTCACCAGGGTTACGGATTGTGAGTCGAGCTCTGGCGAGACCGTGAATGCTAACTCGACCCACCGTCCATCCACTTCGCGGCAGGGTCTCTCCAAATGACCAGAGCACACGAAGAAGTTGCAGGCGAAAATGCGTGGGGACAGTGTTGGCGGGGACAGTGGTGAGGGGACAGCGGGACAGTGGTGGGGACAGCGGGGGGACAGTGGGACAGCGGTGGGGACGGTAGTGGTGGGGACAGTGGTGGGGACAATGGTGGGAACAGGGGGGACAATGGACAGTGGTGGGAACGGTGGTGGTGGGGACAGTGGTGTGGGGACAGTGGGAATGAGGTGGAAACACTGGGACAGTGGAGGGTACAATGGTGGTGGGGACACTGGTAAAGGCGTCGGCGAGGACGGCGGTGGGACAATGGGACAGAGGTCCAGTGGGGACAGTGGTGGGGACAGTGGGGACAGTGGTGGGAACAGTGGGACAGCTCAGTGGGACAGCGGAGGAGTCAGTGGGACAGTGGGGACAGTGGGGATAGGCAGTGGTTGGGTCCGTGGAGACAGTGGGGAGAGTGGAACCGTGGTGGGAACAGTTGTGGGAACAGTGGGGACAGTGCGACAGTGGTGGGGGCACTGGTGGGGACAATAGGGACGGTGGTGGAACCAGCGGGGGCAGTGGTGGTGAGGACAGTGGTGCTGGGAACAACAGTGGGGGATGTCATGCGAGCGGTGGTAGGGACCGGGAGTCGTTTGCTGGCGGTGCGTGGGGGGGCGGTAGTGTAACCGTGACTCCCCCCTCTGACCGAGGGGGGGGGGGGGGGGGGGGGGGGGGGTTAGTAGGGACCCCGGGTTTGGGGATCCGGTGGGGGGGGGGGGGGGGGGGGGGGGGGGGGTAGGTAAGACCCCCCGGAGGTTTCGAGGGGAGGGGGGGGGGGGGGGGGGGGGGGGGGGTTTCCAGGGGGGGGGGGGGGGAGGGTTCGGAGAGGGGGGGGGGGGGGGGGGGGGGGGGGAGACCCCCGGGTTCCGGAGGAAAAGGTTGGCAATTTTCCACAGTAAAGCGGCGGTGGATCACGCTCTCTCCTAATTTAGATACCGTGCCTACTCATCGGTGTCCCTGCTGTGAGTTCGGGGATTCTGGTAAATGTGATTGAGTCGACAGCGAAGCACCCAGACCGCCCTACCTATCGACACGCCTAGTGGTCCGACGAGGAGGACTCTTCAGGGAGGGGGGGCGGACGGCGGAGGGGCGAGAAAAGGTCTTGCCCCCTGGGCCCACGTGTTTGTATTTTCTCGAGATGCGGTTCTTCATTGTCTTGTCTGCGGTCGTCATCGTGTGGAACATGGTCACCATGGTCAAGGAAGCCGTGGAAGCCGAGTCCGCCGACCGCCTTTTCTGGCTGGATCAGTTCTTCATGGTCTTCTACATCGTCGAGCTCGTCCTGCGGGCTGCGCTGTACCAGGGGCAGTTCCTCTGGGGAAGCCCCGCGGACGTCTGGGGCAACTGGCTCGACCTGGTCGTCGTCTCGAGCGGCGTCCTGGACATGTACCTGCTGCCGCTTGCCGAGCGGCTGGCGCCACGCCACGCCCGGCGCCCCCCGAGCTGGCCCAGACGGTGACTCTCAGTCCTCTTTCGGGCGTCGCGCAATGGGCGAGGCGAGCAATGGGGGGGGGGGAAGACAGGCGCACCTTTCGTGCGCTTTAGGGGCCCCTGCGGAGCCCTCCGAGGCCCAAGAGGGGCACGAAAGCTGCGCATTCCCCCCGATCAGCCCCACCTCATTAAGCAACGCCCACCCCTGTTCGGCTTGGCAAGGCTTCGGGCTGTGCGCAGGCAGCCCTCCTCGGGTGGTCTCCCGGACGTGTGCACTTTCTTCCGGCGGGGATTACGAAGGAGCATCTTGGATCATCCTGCGAAAAAAACCGCGCACGAAACCGAACAAAAAACACGGGGAATGGACGTCCGAGCGATGGCCAGGTCCCGGCTGGCCTCAGCAGGCACCCCGCGTAGTTCTGGGCGGCTTCCTCATCCTGGTGCCGCATCCGGCGGCGCAGGTCTGGGGTGCTGAGACCGCCCCAGACCTCCTCGGGGAGTCTGCTGAGGCCAGCTCGCACTGCTCCTTGGGCCCGCTGGAGGCCAGCTCCGACTGCTCTTTGGGCCCGCCGAGGCCAGCCAAAACCACCTCAGGGGCACGGCGTGTGCACAGCCCTGAGCCTTATCAATTCGGATCAGCTCGATTGGCTCCCAGGATGGTCGGGCCGGGGTGGGTGCAGAGACCCGGGCACTGGCAGGGGCGCTCAGATGGCCGCAGGTAAAGACCGAAGTGCAGGTGGGAGTCCGAGGCGGGCATTCATGCATGACCACCGCCTGGGGGATGGATCTTTGTGGTCCTCGGCAGGCGCTGGATATGGGCATACCCATCGGCCGTTGAAAATAGGTATTTTTGGAGTCCCAGATTCCAATCTACTTTAAGCTCCCTTCTACTTCAGTGATCGAGTGGCTTCACCTTTTCCGTCCTCTTTAGGGGGCGGGCGGACATCCAACCTATTTTCAACGCCTTCGCAGTTCATGTTTCTACCTACTTCTTCCGACCGATCGGTATTCAGAGCCCATAGTGCCAACATGTATCCATATCCGCCACCCCCATGGGTCTCACGATGTCGGTTCCCTATGGGGTAGATAGATTGATAGATCCCCGCCTTGCAGCATGTACCCGATCCTATGTGCAGCTCTGTCAAGGGGAAGACTTCTTGCCTAGTCGAGGTGTTCTGGGCTTCTTGGAGTCAGTGATGACGCATTCCCTCTGTTTAACTCAGCAACAGCACAGCGCTAATTACACCCGCCCGCCGCCGTCGCCGTCGTCGTCGTCGTCGTCGGGCCCATCGCTGTTTCTCCTCCCATCCCTACTCATTGACCGCGCGCGTGCAGGTCGTGTAAGTCCGCGTCAACATGAGGAAGAGCTGGAGAGGGACCTGGCAGTCTCGATCCCCTTTTCTGAAAGGGCTCGGCGACGGTGAGCTCATTGAAGGCAAACATTCACTGAAGGCATTTGGTGGCTTTCAGTGAGCAAGAAATGCCTTCAGTGACACATCGCCATCAGCGATCTCCTCGCTTTTACACATGCTTGCCTTCAGTGAAACTGTTTGCCTTCAGTGAGCGCATTGCTACGATCCCGTTAATGTAGAAGCACGGCGTCACGCCTTTTGGGAGCCCACTAGAAGTGGAGGCCGCGGTTTGAACATAAGCGACGGGAATAACATGTCTTGGGTGCGATGCTTGCGGCTCGCGCGGCTGATCCGCTTTGTGAAGCTCATGAACGTCATCCGGCGGATGGGCTGGGAATGGACACGCCACGACGCGTTCGAATTGTTCATCCTGGCCGTGATAGTTCTGAGCAGCCTCGCCATGGGTGTGCAGGCCGATGCTCCTGACCTCGTGGACTGGCACCTGGTGGAAAATGTGTTTCTGGTTGTGTTTTCGTTCGAGCTTTTTGCCCGGCTCATGCTCGAGGGAGCGTCGTATTTTTACAACCGTCGCGAGTTCATCTGGAACTGGCTCGACTTTGTTATCGTGTGCAGTGGCTGGCTCGACTTTGTGTTCCAGCCAGAGAACTTCCACATCCTGGCATCGCTCATGGGGATGCCCGATCTAAACCCGCCGACGTTCTTTACCAGAATCGCCCAGCTGCTCCGGATTCTGAGGCTGCTGCGAATCATGCGGCTGGTGATCAGGAGGGACAAAAATCACACAGACACGATTCATCGTCGATCCCCCAGAAAATATGGGAATATGGGAAGTGGGAAAATATAGGAAAATATGGGAATATGGGAAAATATAGGAAAATATAGGAAAATATGGGAAGACAGAAACCCAGAAAATATGGGAAAATGTAGGGAATCTGTGTGTTATCTGTGTGTGTATTTATTGGTGTGTCCCTGGGGGCCCCTTCAAAGGTGAAGCTCATCAAGAAGGTCCCCGCGCTGTGGTCGCTGTGGCAGGGCGTCGGCGAGGCCATCTCCTCCATGGTCTGGGTGCTCGTGCTGACGGTCGTCGTCCTGTACGCCTTCTCCGTCCTCATGGTCTACATCGTCAAGGACGGGAGTCCCTCCTCCCGCCCTCCCCTCGCTCCTCCTCTCCTCTCCTCCTCCTCCTCCTCCTCCTCCTCATCCTCCCTCTCCTCCCCCTCCTCCTCCCCTCCTCCTCCTCCCTCCTCCTCCCTCCTCCTCCTCCTCCTCCTCCTCTCCTCTACCCCCTCCTCCCCCTCCTCCTCCTCCTCCTCCTCCTCCTCCTCCTCCTCATGGTCTACATCGTCAAGGACGGGAGTCCCTCCTCCCCCCTCCCCCCCGTTCCTCCCCTCCTTCTTTCGGGCGACGAAGTCTGTACGTATCCTCTGCCCCCTGGCTGGGTCCCTCCTGGGCCCCTCCTGGGCCCCCCCTGGGCCTTCGTTCCTCCCCTCCTTCTTTCGGGCGACGAAGTCTGTACGGTAGGTTCGTGTCGTGTCGACCGGCGGCGACCCCGCCAGCGGCGTTCCATTTTGAACGCCGCGGGCGACCCAGAACCGTTCGATGTGGAACGAAATGGACGTTTCGGAAGCGGCCGATCTTTCAAGGTTGAACGATCCCCGCGGTGTCACAAACCAACGCCGAAGTCGACACGACACGAACCTGCCGTACGTATCCTCTGCCCCCTGGCTGGGCCCTTCCTGGGCCCAGGAGCTGTGCATACGCCGTCCTGGCCAAGCCAGGAGGGCGTGGCGTATACACAGGAGGGGCACAGTGGATATGTATAGGTCACTGCTGGGTTCAGGATGGGTCTGACCAGGGAGCAGTGGAGATGTATAGGCTCGTCGCCCTGCCCTTTCTCTTTCCTCCCCTCAGGACGCGAGCATCTACCCCCACGGCCCCCCGGAGCCGGTCGCCACCGTCTTCCCGGACGTGTGGGGCTCTGTGTTCTCCCTGTTCACCGTGATGAACGGCGACGATTTGGAGTATTTCGACCCAATGATCGACTCGTTCCAGCCGGCGCCCGACACTGAGGAGGAGGAGGAGGAGGAAGAGGAGGAGGAGGAGGAGGAGGAGGAGGAGGAGGAGGACGAGGACCTGTGTAAGCCCAAGAGTCATCAACGATGTTGGCAAAAACCCTCCATCCGAGTTCCCTCTTCATAGGCCCCTACAAGGGTTCATGACCACTGAGGGAACTGCCTCGTTGGAAGACAACCGTTTGAAGACCCTGACGCATGCCAAAACATTATTATTGGGACTTCAACGCCACGGATCAACTTGATTTTTGTGTCTTGACGATCTTGAATCGTGCCAGAACCCGTTCGTGCGACTTCAACACCGCAAACCAACGTAACTGGTGCATCTTTATAATTTCATCATGAGTCTCTTTGAAACACACTTTCTGGCACGTAGACCATGGACATGTGTGAAACGTTTGAATTTTAAAAAGAATGTGCGCGGCGCGAAAGCGAGAGCTACATTTTGAAAATCACCCGCCCTCAGTCCGCGAAGATCCTGCAAGTTTTTACAGAGAATTTGCGCGGCGCTAAGGCGGAAGTCACTTTTTGAAAACGGCCCGCCCTAATCCCTGAAACTCTTGCAAATAAAAAAACGAATGTGCGCGGCGCTAAGGCGAGAACCACATGTTGAAAACAACCCGCCCACCATCTGTGAAACTGGTGTCAAGTTTTAAGCTTCAGCGTCATATGTGGTGAGGAACTCTCAGGCGAAACGCCTGGCCCGCCCTAAAATATTGCTTTGGGGTGCGACAGGGAGAACTATGTATAAGGAAAAGGAGTGGAGGAGGAGAAGGAGGAGGAGGACGGGGAGGAGAAGGAGGATGAGGTTGAGGACGAGATGGAGGAGGAGGAGGAGGAGGAGGAGGAGGAGGAGGAGGAGGAGGAGGAGGAGCAGGAGGGGGAGCAGGCGGGGGAGGAGGAGGAGGGCTTCCCTTTTCCGCCCTCCCCTCGTGACGTCTCCTTCTCGTCCCGTCCGACGGCCCCACCAGCGGCCGCAAGCGGCCCACATTGATACCCCCGCAGCCCGCTCACGTTTGCGGAGCTGGGGGGTCGAGGGCATCGGCGCTTCGACGCGAACTCGTCCGCATCACCGAGTCGCCCAGGGGGAGGAGGAGGAGAAGGAGGAGGAGGAGGAGGAGGAGGAGGAGGAGGAGGAGGAGGAGGAGGGGCTCCGGACTTCATCGCACCCCCACGTAGACCGTCCCCCCTCCTCTTCTCCGGATCCTCTTCTCCGGGTAGCGGAAGGTCGTGGGTGGCGGGGCAAGGAGGCAGTTTGTTGGCATGTGCCTACCGGCGTGCTATCGAAAGTTGTGGTGGTGGTCTTCATTGGGGCTGCCAACGGAGGTGGAGTTCTGAGGAAGAAAAAGTGCTGATATCGCTACCCTTGCCTCGGTCTTGTTTTCCTGCGTACCTTCTGCTTCCCCATGATGGGTGTTGCAGAGCAGGTAGAGTATCATCGTCATCCTCTGTCGAAAAAAACAAGAACGGCATTGCTCCGACGGTAGGAATCCGCACGAGCGTTTCCTCAGTTTGTCTGAGAGTCTAGTATTTACTTCCTGTCCGTCCCACACCTGGGATTAGTAACATGAGGTGCGGGCCCCAAGGGAGGGGGCTCCCTCCCGAGTCTTCCCTATAAGTCACTCACAGACGAGGTTCCCGCTCAACACTTCTCCATACTCAATCTTCAGGAGCCCAAAAGTGACGACACTAACAAGTTTCGAATGACCCCTTGGGATTAATAACGTGATCTGCGGGCCCCATGGGACGGGTATTCCCGCCTGAGACTTCCTCCCGATTCACTCACGGACAAGGCCCCCGTTTGAGACGTTCTGACAATTCAAGCCTCGGGGGTTCAAAAGTGACGAGACTTACAGGTTTCGCATGACCCGCCAGGATTAGTAACATGATCTGCGGGTCCCTTGGGGAGGGGGCTCCCACTCACAAACAAGGGCCCCATAGGACTGGGGCTCGCGCTTGAGACTTCTTCGCAATCCACTCACAGACAAGACCCCCGCTTGAGACGTCCTGAGGATTCAAGCCTTAGGAGTTCAAATCTGACGACAATTACATGTTTCGAATGACCCCTTGGGATTATAAACATGAGTGCGAGCCCCATGTGGAGGGGGCTCCCTCTTGAGATTCCATCGCAAATCACTCACCGACAAGGCCCCCGCTTGAGACTTTCTGACAATTCAAGCCTTGGGGGTTCAACAGTGACGACAGTTACAGGTATCGAATGACCCGCTCGGATTAGTAACATGATCCGCATGTTCCATATGGAAGAGCCCCCCGCCTGAGACCTTTTTCGCAAATCGCTCACGGACAAGGCCCCCGCCAGTGACTTCCTCAAGGTTCTTCGGGGACCCAGGATGACGGCGGTAACAGGTTTCGAACTAACCGTTCGGATCAGTAACATGGTTTGCTGGCCCCATAGGACGGGAACTCCCGCCTGAGACCTCTTCCCTATTCACTCACAGACAAAGCCCCCGCTTGAGACGTTCTGACAACTCAAGCCCCAGTGGTTCAAAAGTGACGGTAGCTATAGGTTTTGTATGACCCGCTCGGATGAGTAGCATGATCTCTGGGCCCCATAGGGAGGGGGGCTCCCACTGACAGACAAGGACCCCGCCTGGGACCCCCCGAAGATTCAAGCCTCGGGACACCCAGCGTGACAGTAACTATTGGTTTCGAATAGCCACCCGGGTCAGCAACAGCATCTCCGGGTCCCACAGGGAGGGGGCTTCTGCTCGAGGCGCCCTCGCAAGTCACTCGCAGACAGGTCCCCCTCCTCCTCCTCCTCCTCCTCCTCCTCCTCCTCCTCCTCCTCCTCCTCCTCCTCCTCCTCCTCCTCCTCCTCCTCCTCCTCCCCCCCGCCTGAGACCGCCTGAAGCTTCAAGCCTCGGTGGCCCCAACGTGGCAGCTTTCGATTGACACGCTCGGCTTAGTAGCATGATCTGCGGGGCCCATGAGGAGGGGGTTCCTTCCTGACGCTGACTTGCAATCCACCCACAAACAAGGCCCTGCTTGAGACGTCCTGAAGATTCGAGGATCGGGGGCTCCAAAGTGTCGACATGTACAGGTTTCGAAAGACCCGCTCGGATTAGTAACGTGATCTGCGGGCCCCTTGGGGTGGGAGCTCCCACCCGAGACCTCTTCGCGATTCACTCACAGACTCAAGGCCCCCGCCTGAGACTAAAAGTGACGAATCATACAGGTTTCGAACGGCCCTCATGCATTAGTAACATGATCTGCATGATTTGCGGGACCCATAGGGGGAGTGTCCCTTTCGATACGCGGTCAATCACAGGCGAGGTTCCTGCTCGATACTTCTTCCGTATGAGTGAGTGTGTGAGTGGTTGAGTGGGTACGTGAGTGTGTGTGTGTGCGATGAAGGCGATGATGTTCTTCCGTATGGCGATGATGATGTTGATGACGTTGATGATGTTGATGATGATGTTGATGATGATTTTGATGTTGCTGATGATAAGGTTGTTGATGAAGTTGTTTCTTATTCTGAGTATGATGAAGATGAGGATGATGAGGATGAGGATGAGGATGAGGATGATGATGAGGATGAGGATGAGGAAGAGGACGATGATGCTGCTGATGATGATGATGATGATGATGATGATGATGATGATGATGATGATGATGATGATGACGATGGTGTCATGGCAGACGGTCGAGGATGACGAGAACGACGACGACGATGATGATGATGTTGAGGATGATGATGAGGATGAGGATGAGGATGAGGATGAGGATGAGGATGAGGATGATGATGATGATGATGATGATGATGATGAGGATGATCATGGTGATGGTGATGGTGATGGTGATGGTGATGGTGATGATGATAACGGATGATCATGGTAATGGTGATGGTGATGTTGATGGTGATGGTGATAATGATAGTGATGGCGATGATGATGTGGGAGTGGTACTGCTTTTGCGCGGGGGTGTCCAGAGAAAACAATAACCCCGCTCAGGATGTGTGAAATGAACAAAAACTTTCGGAGCTCCGCGCGGATTTCTTGGATCGGCGCTCAGCACCGGCGGCGCCGCCAGCGCCGATCCCAGAAATCAGATCGCAGTTCCGAAGGTTTATGTATACACGGTGTTTCTTATTTTTGTTTTTGCACTCTGCCCCCTTGGGCCATCTTAGATGCTCTGACCGCTCGCGGGGCGCCCCGTCCAGGTCCAGGGGAGGAGGTAGTGGGAGGGGTCAAGACACCCCTTAGATAGCAAGCCGTCTGGCTCACTCCCACCCGCCCTCCCAAGTTATAAGTAACACCCGAGCCTCAGCATGGTTTGCGGTCGTCTTTGGATGGACACCTACTGGGAAGCAAAACCGACTCCATGTGCACGACGTTGGGGCGAGGAGCGACACGCGTGCCAGGCGCGCCACGCGCGCCAGGCCCCCCTGGGGCCCGAGCGTGCCAGGCACGCCTGATGCGCCAGATGCGCCACGTGCTCCGCGTGCGCCAGGTGTGCCGCATACTCCAGCCGCGCCAGGTGCGCCACGTTCGGGGCACGTGCAGAGTGTGTCAGGTGCGCCTGCGCACGTGACAGCACACATCGGGAAACATGTCGACCCCCACCATCTTGTCGAAAACCAAAGCCCATCATTGTGTCTGGTGGGCCTGCGAACAGGCAATGCGCCACCACCCCCGCCGTCTCTGTCAAAAACAACTTGACAGCGATCGCGGGGTGGCCGCGCATCATCCAGATGTAGCCGCGAGGTGCATTTTGGAATGTTTTTTGTTAGGGGTGGTAGCCCTTTGCACAGCAGGCAATAGGCAATATGCTGACACCCCCGCCGTCCCTGCCAAAAACATTACAAAGTGCTCGCGGGCCTCACGAACATGACTCAAGACTTTTGCTCAAATTGTACTTTGTATTGGGGGTCGCCTGGGGGAGGGGGTGCATATTAACAGGTAGCAGTGATAAACCCCTCCCCGAAGCGGAAGAAGGGGGGTGCAAGAGGAGCCTCTCTAGACCACCTACGCCCAGACGGTTGGTTGGATTCTTTGCATTCTGCCCCCTCTTCCTCTCCCCTCGTGCGCGGCCTCAGCCTGCCCCACGTAGGCAGCAGCGGCACGGCGTTGACGTGCACCGTGCAGACCACACACCGCCGGCCTTCCCCACAGAGCACAGAGACTGGCCCAGCCGAGGCACAGTCGAGGCAACAGCCCGTGCCAGGGTCGCTGCTCCCGCCCTGCCACGGGAGCGTGTCTCTCTATTGTTTGGGGCATAACGGGCATGATAGCCCCCGGCGCCCCCCCCCTTATAACGTAGAGCCCCCCCATCGGGATCCGCATAGGCGTCCGCATAGGAATCCGCACAGGGGTTTGGTCCGCACTTGTTGTCGTCGTCGTCGTCGTCGTCCTTGTCGCTCGTCGCTCGTCGCTCGGCGCTCGTCGCTCGTCGCTCGTCGTTGTGCGCGCGGACGCGGCTGGAGCCTGTTTTTTAATCCGGGCGGATGACCACCGTCATCTAGGGGGTGGAGGGAGCCGATGACGTCACGTTTCGCGCCGGCGGCGTCTGGGAATGCCTAAGGATGACCGAGGACGGGTAGCAGTAGCATGTAGGTGGCGATCTGCACCACAGCGCCTGTGTACACCACAGGGCCTGCGTGCACCACAGCGCCTGCGTACACCACACCGCCTATGTACACCACAGCAGCCGCGTGCTACACAGCGCCAGTGTGTGCCACAGTGCCTGCGAGCACCACAGCGTACACCACAGCGCCCGCGTACACCACATCAGCCGTGTGCAACACAGCACCAGTGTACACCACAATGCCTGCGTGCTCCGCAGAAACCATGTGCAACAGAGCACCACTGTTGCTTTTAGAATTTTAAAAAAATCCTGGTGACAAAATGGAGTACCAGTGGACTCCACTGAAACAGTGGTTTTAGGTAGGATTTGGAAAGGAATCCTTATGGAAAATGGAGCGCCGCTGGAATCTACAAGTCCTCCCCGGTCCTCCCGCATCATCCTAACTCGTCCCATCTGCGTCCAGGAGGCTGCAGCAGAATTGGCCGTCCGAGGACCAAGTGGACTGATTCAATCGACCATTCTGCGGTTCACGCTGAGATGCGCACGTGCGCTGTAGCGCCGACCCGCAAGCAGGGGGGAAAGGTGAGCGAGGAGGAGGAGGAGGAGGAGGAGGAAAACGAGGAAAAGGTGGAGGTGGAAGAGGAGGGAAAGGGAAGAACGTCGCATCCTATTATCAGCACTTCCCTGGCGTGGTGTCCAGCTAGCTGTCCGCAGCAGATCCTCACCTACATGCTCCTTCTACCTGTCCTGTGCACGCAGGCACTGGTGTACACCAGCGCTGCGTTGCACGCGGATGCTGTGGTGTAGACAGGCGCCGTGGTGTGCACAGGCGCTTCGGTCTACGCGGGCATTCTGGTGTACACAGACGTTGTGTTGCACATGGTTGCTGCGGTGTACACATTCGCCGTAGTGTACACCAGCGCTGTGGTGCACGCAAGCATTGTGGTGTACACAGACGCTGCGATGCACGCGGCTGTCGCGGTGTACGCAGGCGCTGTGGTGTACACGCGCGCTGTGGTGCACGCGAGCACTCTGGTGTACAGAGGCGCTGTGGGGCAGATCGCCACCAACATGCTGCTCCTTCTTGGCCCCGGTCATCCCTGGGCATACATGGACGCCGCCGGCGCGGAACGTGATGTCATCTATAGGAGGGGGGCCGATGACGGCCGTTATCCCGGATAATAAAAAAAGGGCTCTTGTGGTGCCAGAGCCACACGGCGGGGTGGGGGGGGGTTATACCCCCCTTCGCCTCGCTTTCCTCGCCCCTCGCCCCTCGCCCTCCTCCACCTCGCCGTCCTCCTCGAGCTCCCCCTCCTCGCCCCATCGCCCTCAGCCCTCGCCCTCCGCCTCGGTCCTCCCCCTCCTCATCCTCCCTCGCCCTCGCCCTCGGCCCTCCCCATCCGCGCCCTCGGCCATCCCCTTCCTCGCCCTCGGCCCGAGCTGCACCTCCCCATCGCCCTCGGCCCTGACCGTCCTCGTCCTCCGCATCATCGCCCGCGCCCTACATCCCGAGCACGGTAGATTCGCGTCGCGCCGACCAGCGGCGATCCTGCCGCCGGCGTTCAAGGCTGAACGCCGCCAGCAACCCAGAATCGGTCGATGCTGAACGACTTGACGTGCCAGGTGGAACGACCCAGAAGCCAGCGGCGAAGCCGGCACGACGCGAGCCTGCCGCAGGCCCGCTCAGCGTCGGCATTACCCAACGTATTCATACGATGCGTACCCCGTGGCATCGCTCGGACGTGTGCATTTTTCCTTCGGCGAGGACCATCGAGGAGCATCCTTGATCATTTGACGAAAAAACCGCGCACGGAACCGAAAAAAACACAGGGAATGGACGTCCGAGCGATGGCGAGGACCCCGCCCCCCCAGGGGCGGCGCGTGCGCGCAGAAGTCTTGCAGCGTGTGCTCGGCGGCGGGCGATGTCTGGCACTGCCGCCCTGGCAACGACGTGCTTCAATGCGTCCTTGCTCTTCCTTGCTCTTGCGTCCGTGAGGTTTTCGTCGCCCGCCGCCCAAGAAATCCCAACTTCGGCTTCCCAGGGTCTTGCGTCCTTACCACGCGTCCTGATTATGGTTTTTGACTGTACACCGCCCCCCCAGGGGCGGCGCGTGCGCGCAGAAGTCTTGCAGCGTGTGCTCGGCGGCGGGCGATGTGTCTGGCACTGCCGCCACGGGCAACGACCGTGCTTCATTGCGTGTGCACCGCATGTGCGGCTCGGGCGGGCGCCTCCAAGGGGGGCGCATCGTGCTGGTGTGTCCACGTGCGTCCCGAGGAAGGGGGAGGGGGAGGGGCAGGGCTGGCGCGCGAGGGGGCGGCCTTCTAGAAGTACAGTCGGGGCCCTGAAGAAGGAACCCTTTTCGTTGGGGAGGGGCTCGATGTTCCTTAATTGTTCCACACCTTGTCTAAGGTTTCCCTTCTGCTTTCGATGGGAAGTCAAAGTTTAACTTACGAAAAAGGGGCCCCGTTCCTTATTTATCGTTCCTTAGGTCAACGCCTCGACTGTGTGTCCACGTGCGTCCCGAGGAAGGGGGAGGGGGAGGGGCAGGGCTGGCGCGCGAGGGGGCGGCCTTCTAGAACTAGGCGGGGAGGGGCGTCACAGAAGCGCCGGGGTGCTTCGAGGAGGTCGTCTTGGCTTGAAGCTGGGAGGGCTTCTGGGAAGCCACCTGCGTTGCAGCTCCACCCCGCCTTCTTGTAGGAAGGGGTGAATGGGGCAGCTGTGGTGTCGCCTGCCAAGCGCCGCTGCTGATGCCCCAACCGTAGCGCCACCAGCTCCCAGCCATACAAGTAAAGCCACAGCATCAGAGCCGCTGCGTCGACTGCGAGCTGCCACGGAAATGGCCTGTGATGTTATCAGCGGCAGCCCGCGCAATGCAAGCATCTGGTCCGCGGTTTCCGTCCCACCCGAAGCAGTTGTTAGCGACTTACAGTCGGCCCGGATTAGTAGGTCGACTCTGTCAAATCAAGGGTGCCCTTGTGTCTTGTGTCTCGCGACCCATGCCTCCTGCATTCCGATGGCAATGTGGCCCTCGGAAGGGTCTTTTGTCCTCTCGCGTGTCCTGTCCAATGAGGGCCGACTGTACGTCACGCATGGTGACGCGAAGATTGTCGCGCCTCGCTCCTCGCGGTCTGGATGAGAGCGGTTGCCTTGCTCCACGTGGGTGGCGCGAGGGCGCAAGGGGCGCGAAGGTAAACCGTGCGCGGCGCATGGCGTGGCGCGAGTCGTGAAGTGGGCCCCCCCCCCCCCCGTATTGCTGGCCTGTGTTTCGGAAACATATGCGAGGAGATGTAGAGGGTGAGAGCGAGAGAGAGAGAGAGAGGGAAGAGAGGGTGAGGGAGAGAGAGCAATCTCTATGCACATACGTTTGAGTGTCTATAAATATACATGTTTAAAGGGAGGAGGAGAGAGGGAAACTGTTTTTTTACATAATTGCATATGCATGTATAGATCGATGCACATACCTACACATTTGTATGCTTACATGTGCGTCTATAAGTGTGCGCATAGACGTATACAGGCATATGTGTACATTTGTGTAAACAAATGTATACACATATATGTGTGCATGCTCGCACGTGTGTGTATATATATATATATATGTATGTATGTATATGAGTATGTACAGAAACAAAGCAACAAGACAGGATACATTGGAAGGATGTGTATATATTGAGAGATAAGAGAGAGAGAGAGAGAGAGAGAGAGAAAAAGAGAGAGAGAGAGATCAATAACAACAACACAAGAAGAGAAAGGGAGAGTGAGAGAGGGCAACAATAATAGTGGCGTCGGGGAGAAGGGATGAGAGGGTGGTAGGACAGGACGCAGGGAAGCGAGATAAGAGGGATGCGAGGGAGGAGCTCCTCCTGCTCCCCCTCGTCCTCCCCCCCTCAGGCGCAATGTATTTACGTTGTTTTCATTATACTCTCGACGTGGGCGATCCTGTCGATCTTGACGGCGGTTGTCAGCGAGAAGATGATCAAAACCACCCAGGCGGAGCAAAGCAGGAGCGGTCTCCCAGCAGCCTGAGCGGGGAGGATCTAGGATCCGGGCGGGGAGGGATTCGAAGAGCCTCTCGAGCGCGTCGGTCGTAGAGGCTTGTTTAAAGCCTCCTCATTCTTCATTTCCCTATTCACCCTCTTTGGCTGGAGAGATCAAGATGTCAAGAGCAATCAAGCACAGCTTCTTACCGCTGATTCCTTCTCGCTATTTCATCTCTCGATTTTGTCAGTTGTTTTCTTTCCGCGTGCGATGGATCCTGTGTGCGTCATCGTTTCTTTGACATATCAAGGGTCCATGCTGCAGAATATGATGTTCAGCGATATATGGATGACATGAAAGACTGCTAACACATGTTGGATGACGTATAGTGAGTTGGGCTCATTGAAAGTTGAGGACCTGTGCGACGATACATGTTTGGATGGAGTGCAACAGTAAGTGCAGCTTCATGAGCAGACCCAACGTATCAGGTCGAAACCAGCAATAGACGAGTCTGATAAAACGTTGGATTGATCAGCATTGTACCAATTAGAAACATATTCTCAAATATGGTTACCCTGATGGTGGCATTGACACTTCTTCGACCAGTCTCGCTTACGAGAGCAAGCCTATATACGTCAGCACATTATTGCAAACCCTTGGCCGGCGAAGTGCCAAACGAGGAGCCTTTGCGGGGTACACGTTCAGCCTCGGTTGCTCAATGCTCCTCTTTGCGGGAGGCATGGCAGGCACGGGAGCACGCAGGGCAGATTCGCTCTTCGATTATTCTCGGGCGTTCCCGGCCATCAGACTCGTAGTGCGATCCGCTCGCTCGTGGAAGCTGCAGGATTCTTTCGGGGCATGCTGGGGGGTCCTGGGGCTCGGGGGGCATCTCGAAGCGGAGAGGCCCCGGGCCCCCATCGAGTTCCTCGTCTGGGGCCCCTCTTGGGGGGCCTCTTGCACCGCATTCTGGGCCCCGTGAGCCGTCGGGAGACCCTCTTCGGTCGTCTCGGGGCCCTTTTGGGGCTCCTCCTTTTGGGCCGTCTTGGGCCAGTCTGGGGGGGATTTCCCGGGTCATCTTCGAGCTTTCGGAAGCCCGACAAGGCGAGATCGCGAAAATCAGCCCCGGACCAACGGACAGTCCGTAGTTTTTGCTCCTGGGGCTTCTCTTGGGGTTTCTCTTGAAGCTCTCTTGGGGCGTCATTGGTGCCTTTTTTAGGCCGTCCTGAGTTTGTTCGGGCGCGTCGGCGCCCTTCCTGAGGCGGTTTGCGCGGCGTCTTGGAGGCGACGGCAGCCTGGACTTGAAGGCTCCGAGAGTCCCAGAGGTGCGTTGACGAGATCGTCCAGCGCGGAATTCTGGACCCTGGGGGAGGGGGAGGTGGAGAGGGGGACGGCCAGATGTCCCACACGCTTGTGCATCTCCAGCAGGCGGCTGTCGGCGGATGTGCGACAGTCAACCCGCATAGTAAGGAAGAGCAACTTTCCCAAATTGCCCCAGATTTCGTAATAAAGGGAGGGGGGTCTCATTTCGGGGGGGGTCTCTTCCAAGCTATCTTGGAGGGCCTGGAGGGGTCTGGGGACGATGTTTTGGAGGGTTCTCCCACGGGGGAGGTCCGAAATGGCTTGTCTTGGAGGGTCCAGACCCCCTCCCTTTTATTACAAAATCTGGAGTACCCTTACATCCTTTCCCTTCGGCCCATCCTTGGCCGCTTTCCCTGGCCGCGCCCCGCTCGCAAAGTGTCGACATGGCCTTCCAAAAGGCCCTTGCACCCTTATCGTGCGTCCTTACTTTCTGGGCTGGCCGTACTTCTCTCACGCAGTTTCCCACGTCAAGATGTGACAGACATGCGGCCATCCTGGCCATGGTCCCGGGCCTGGGCCAGGATCGCCTGTCCACCAGATCCCACACCCAGCAAGTGCCTTGGCAAGGCTTGAGCCCCTTGCACCGATGCCAGGCGTTTGCCCCTCGGGGCCCTTGCCGGCGTCGTCGCCGTCCCGCCGTGCCCGTCCCGATCAGGCAGAGCGATGTGAAGGAGGAGGATGAGGAGGAGGACCAGAGTAAGTTCAGGATGCGTCCGCGATGTTCGACTACACGTAAGAGTGACCTTTCGCCGGAGTGACCTTTGGTGCGGGTCCAATGGGGTCCCCCGATCGCCGAGAGCGATGGGGCAGTGGCGTCTTGCGCGCCTGTGTGTTGGGCCCTCCGCGGACCGCCAGAAGCCGCGCACCGAAGGTCACTCTCACCCAGGGTCACTCCTGCGTTAGGGGAACAAAAATTGACATAAACATAAAAACTCGGAGGTCCGCGCGGATTTCTCGGATCGGCGCTGGGGCCCCCCGGCGGCGCTTCCGGCGCCGCCCCTGGCGCGCTCCGCGCGCCAGGGAGAGGGGTCCAGCGCCGATCCGAAAAATCCGCGCGGACCTCCGAGTTTTTATGTTTATGCCATTTTTTGTTTCCCTTTGCGTGCAGCCGAGATGCTGCAACACGCCCGTCCGAGCCGTGCCCCCTCTGTCACGACTTCGTCCCTGCAGGTACAGTCAAAAGCCTTAATAAGGACGCGCGACTTTGCTCAGGGTACCCTTGCGTCCTGGCTCTTCCTTGCTCTTGTGTCCTTGAGGTGTTCGTCGTCCGCCGCCCCAAAAATCCCAACCTCGGCTTCCAAGGGTCTTGCGTCCTTACCGCGCGTCCCTATTATCGGGGGAGCGTAAGACCCGGGTTTGCCAGGACTCGGGTTCGCCATCGTTTGTGGACGACCGCGCCTCGGATTTGGACGAGGAGGAGTTTCGTGGGACGTCTGCAGCGGGAGGCCTCGTCAAAATGCAGGCTCGGCCTCGTCATTTTTGTTGACGACCTCGTCGGGCCAACCCGAGTCCCCCGTACCCGGGTCTTACGTCTCCCCGATATTAGGGTCTTTGACTGCACGCCCGTCCGAGCCTTACTCGTATGGCGCTCTCAAGCCCGTGCCTTTTCACTACGCGTGTCAACGTTTCGCCCCTGCTGGGGCTCGTCAGGACTCGAATGAAAATGGCAGCGGCATGCGAACACAGCAAGTGCATGATCGACACAATACTGCGTGCAATGCGATACGGCAAACAAAAACACATGCATGCATGCGGCGATCGCTCAACAACACCCCTGTATTGGATGACTGCTGCTTCTGCCGCCGGGAGGGGCAACAAATCGTGCCCCCCCCGCCCTCACTTGAACGAAGGATTGCAAAAAAACCCTCCGTCACGACGTCGTCCCTGCAGGCATCCCCCGACGACCGCGGGGCGCGCGCCGCCGGAAGGGCAGAGGGGCCCGGTGGGCCTGCCACGCCCGGGCCCCCCCTTCGGCGAGGGGCACACGCTCCATCGCTCGCGCTGGGCATTTAGACTCACAGAGAAAGGGAGAGAGAGAGAGAGACAGAGAGAGAGAGAGCGAGCGAGAGAGAGAGAGAGGAGCAAAAAAAAAAAGACAGAGAGAGAGAGAGAGAAAGAGACAGAGAGAGAGAGATAGAGAGACAGAGAGCGAGCGAGAGACAGAGAGAGAGAGAGAGCGATAGTGAGAGAGGGAGAGAAAGTCGTGCTCCTGCTAAGTGGTCTTCTGTTCTACTGAGTGGTCTTTCGGTGCGCTTGATCATGTTGCCGAGTTTGCCTCCTCCACCTCCTCCTCCTCCTCCTTCTCCTCCTCCTCCTCCTCCATCTCTTCCTCCACCTCCTCCTTCTCCTCCTCCTCCTTCTCCTCCTCCACCTCCCCCTCCTTCTCCTCCTCATTATATCACGTTCTCTGTCACTCTCTCAGAGAGTGAGAGAGAACGTGATAGAATGATCAAGTTCACGGAAATGAAGTGCCCTAGGGAACATCCCGTTTGGCAAAAACATGCAGTCACGAATGTTAGCCTTGTTGGACCCCAACCAGTATGTTCTTACATTGCGGGTGTGTAAGTGATATGGCGCACGCTATGCAGTGTATGTTGTGTGGTGCAGCATATGTGGTGCAAGTTGAAGGCAGCAACGAAGCGGCGACGAGGCGAAACCTCGCCAGACCCACCCAGCGAACGAGGCGGCAACCAGACGGCAACGGGCGGTAACGTGACGAAACTTCGCCAGGCCCACCTAGCGCACGAGGCGGCGATGAGGCGGCCACGGGTGGTAACGTGGCGAAGCCTCGCCAGACCCATGCAATTCCTTAGCAACCCGAGCAAGAACCTCTAAGGCCAAGCACTGTTTGAGGAAGATGTTGGAGTTTCAAGCGAGAGCTCCACTTTCAAAAGGAGCCCCCCGCCCATCTGCGCAGCTGTTGCGCAGCTTGGATCCTCGGGTCATAGAGCTTGAGGATCTCCCATGTGAGAGCCGCATTCTGAAAACGAGCCAGCCGCCGTCCTTGCAGTTGCTGGGAACTTTGAATGATCATGTGCGCGGCGCTCGGCGAGAGCCACATTTTGAAACCAACTTGCCTCCATTCTCATGGTTGTTCGGAGCCTTTGCAGCGAATGTGCGCGGCGCATCTCGAGAACGACCCGCCCTCCCTCTTTATAACCATTGGAAGTTGCGTGTGCGTGGTGTTGAGACGAGAGCCGCATGTTGAAACCGACCAGCCCTCCATCCTTTCAGGCGCTGGATGTTTCGTTTTTACCTAACAGCGAAGACTGATAGGTTTCTAGTGGTCTCAAAAGAGAGCAGCAGATGACTCCACAGGGGGGTCTGGGCAGCCGTTGGGGACGAGTTGGGGGGCCGTTGGGGGGCCGTTGGGGATTGCCGGGGAACCTCGTTTTTCGCAAACAGTCACACACTTCGTGCTCTTCGACCTCCCAGAACTCCATTCTTCGACCTCCCAGAACTCCATTCCCGGGCCACATTCTGAATGCCCGGAGCCAACTGTAGGCCACTTCGTGGTCTTCGAGTTCCCAGAACTCCATTCCCGGGCCACATTTTGGATGCCCGGAGCCAACTGTAGGCCACTTCGTGGTCTTCGAGTTCCCAGAACTCCATTCCCGGGCCACATTTTGGATGCCCGGAGCCAACTGTAGGCCACTTCGTGGTCTTCGAGTTCCCAGAACTCCATTCCCGGGCCACATTTTGGATGCCCGGAGCCAACTGTAGGCCACTTCGTGCTCTTGGACTTCCCAGAACTCCATTCCTGGGTATGATTTTGAATGCCCGGAGCAAACTGTAGGCCACTTCGTGTTCTTCGAGTTCCCAGAATTCCATTCCCTGGCCACATTTTGAATGCTGAGGCAGGCTGATGCTGAGGCTGAGGCAGGCTGAGGCTGAGGCTGAGGCTGAGGCTGAGGCTGATGCAGGCTGAGGCTGAGGCAGGCTGAGGCTGACTGAGGCTGAGCAGGCTGAGGCTGAGGCAGGCTGAGATTGAGGCTGAGGCTGAAGGCCGAGGCTGAGGCTGAGGCTGAGGCAGGCTGAGGCTGAGGCTGAGGCAGGCTGATGCTGAGGCAGGCTGAGGCTGAGGCTGATGCAGGCTGAGGCTGAGGCAGGCCGAGGCCGAGGCCGAGGCTGAAGGCAGACTGAGGCTGAGGCTGAAGCAGGCTGAGGCTGAGGCTGAGGCAGGCTGAGGCTGAGGCTGAGGCTGAGGCAGGCTGAGGCAGGCTGAGGCTGAGGCTGATGCAGGCTGAGGCTGAGGCTGAAGGCTGAGGCTGAGGCTGAGGCTGAGGCAGAGGCTGAGGCTGAGGCTGAAGCAGGCTGAGGCTGAGGCTGAGGCTGAGGCTGAGGAGCCGAGGCTGAGGCTTGAGGCAGGCTGAGGCAGGCTGAGGCTGCGGCTGAGGCAGGCTGATGCTGAGGCAGGCTGAGGCTGAGGCTGAGGCTGATGCAGGCCGAGGCTGAGGCAGCCTGAGGCTGAGGCCGAGGCTGAAGGCAGACTGAGGCTGAGGCTGAAGCAGGCTGAGGCTGAGGCTGAGGCAGGCTGAGGCTGAGGCTGAGGCAGGCTGATGCTGAGCCAGGCTGAGGCTGAGGCTGAGGCTGAAGGCTGAGGCTGAGGCTGAGGCTGAGGCAGACTGAAGGCTGAAGCAGGCTGAGGCTGAGGCTGAGGCAGGCTGAGGCTGAGGCTGAGGCAGGCTGATGCTGAGGCAGGCTGAGGCTGAGGCTGAGGCTGATGCAGGCTGAGGCTGAGCAGGCTGAGGCTGAGGCCGAGGCTGAAGGCAGACTGAGGCTGAGGCTGAAGCAGGCTGAGGCTGAGGCTGAGGCTGAGGCAGGCTGAGGCTGAGGCTGAGGCAGGCTGAGGCTGAGGCTGAGGCTGAGGCTGAGGCCTGAGGCAGGCTGAGGCTGAGGCTGAGGCAGGCTGAGGCTGAGGCTGAGGCTGAAGGCTGAGGCTGAGGCTGAGGCTGAGGCCTGAGGCTGAGGCTGAGGCTGAGGCTGAGGCTGAGGCAGGCTGAGGCTGAGGCTGAGGCTGAGGCTGAGGCTGAGGCTGAGGCTGAGGCTGAGGCTGAGGCGAGGCTGAGGCTGAGGCAGGCTGAGGCTGAGGCTGAGGCCGAGGCTGAAGGCAGCTGAGGCTGAGGCTGAAGCAGGCTGAGGCTGAGGCTGAGGCAGGCTGAGGCTGAGGCTGAGGGCTGAGGCTGAGGCTGAGGCAGGCTGAGGCTGAGGCTGAGGCTGAGGCAGGCTCAGGCTGAGGCAGGCTGAGGCTGAGGCCGAGGCTGCAGGCAGACTGAGGCTGATGCAGGAGCAGGCTGAGGCTGAGGCTGAGGCAGGCTGAAGCTGAGGCTGAGGCTGATGCTGAGGCAGGCTGAGGCTGAGGCTGAGGCTAATGCAGGCCACTGCGACTGTCATCGCGAATGCGACTACGACTGCGAGAACAGCAGAACTCTACAACTGGATTCTCATCTGAATCTTAAGGGGGATGCTTCCAGATATGCTCCTACACATCGCTGTTAGGTTGCTTTGCCGGGATAATTGATTCAGTAAAACGCTGCGAAGGTTCATGTGAAACACCTGGCCTGGCCTGCGCACGCACGTCTGTTGGCGCGACAGGGGGGGGGATTCCTCTTTCTTCTCCTCCTCCTCCTCCTCCTCCTCCTCCTCCTCCTCCTCCACCTCCCCCCCCCCTCCTCCTCTTCCTTGTCCTCATCCTCCTTCTCCTCCTCCTCCTCCTCCTCCTCCTCCTCCTCCTCCTCCTCCTCCTCCTCAGTGTTAGAATGAAGAGGGATTGAAACAGCGCGCCATTTGCCCCGAGGAGGCAAACCGAGGAGAAAGCGGAGCACATGAAGAAGCTCGAGGAAGAAGTGAAGCGGGTCTTCGAGGAGGCGGATGACGAAGGTGGGTTGCGGGTAGAAACACATATTGGGCTGGCCTCCGGCCAGTGCCGCCGATCCGGGGGGGGTGAGAGCGAGATGATGATGGGGATCCTGGGGACGTGGAGGCTTCTGGAGCCGTCTTGGGGGCATCTTGGGCGGCTTGGAGCGATGTTTCGGCGAGTCGGGGCCCTTCTGGACCGTCTAGGGGGCCTCTTGGGCCTCTCTTGGCTTTTTCTTTGGCCGTCTTGTGCGGTCTGGGCTCTGGACTTGGGTCGTCTTGTGGCGCTCCTGGGCCGTCTTGGGCCCTGCGGGGGCCGTCTTGGAGCCCTCTTGGGGGCTTGTTGGCGTGTCTTAGGGAGCTCTGGGGCCGTCTTGGACATTGTGAAGGCCCAAGAAACGAATACGCCGAAAATATACGTATTCCCAACGGAAGGGTCTATTTGTCAGTCTTTGGGCATTCTTGGGAAGTGTCGTGAGGGATCCTGGGGACGTCTTGGAGGTTTCTGGAACTGTCTTCGGGGCATCTTGGGCGGTTCGAGCGAAGATTTTGGCGATTCGGGGCCCTCTTGCATTGTCTAGGGGGCCTCTGGGGCCTCTCGTGGCTTCCTCTTGGGCTGTCTTGGCCGGTCGGGGCTCCGGAAGTGGAGTTTTCTTTCCCCCCCTGTCCCCGGGTACCTGAAAGCGTCGGAAATGACGTCGGAAATATCCCCGTGTACCGAAAAACGACGGAAATGACGTCGGAAATAACGTACCCCCCCCCCTGCAGAGCGAAGCTTGAGCGAGCTCAAGTCCACGCTCTCAGAAATTCTTTACGCTTCGCGTATCCCCACCAGCCCATCTCACAGCAGCAACTCTTGCGAAGCATACCGGCAGTCGTGTTTTTCAGGCGTGTGTCCGCTTGGCCCCGCATATGTCCCCTGTTCCTCCTTCCTCCCGCCTCCTTGTACATCCTCCTTGTGGGGGGAGCGGGAGAAGGACGAGGCGGAGGAGGAGGGAGAGAAAGCGCTCCTCGTGATTTGAGTCGTTTGGGGTTTCTCGTCCTGGTGTGAGTCGTTCGGGCCCTTCTTCCTGGTGTGAGTCGTTCGGGCTCTTCGTGGTGTGAGTCGTTCGGGCTCTTCGTCCTGGTGTGAGTCGTTCGGGCTTCTCGTGGTGTGAGTTGTTCGGGCCCCTCATCCTGGTGTGAGTCGTTCGGGCCCCTCCTCCTGGTGTGACTCGTTCGGGCTCCTCGTGGTGTGAGTCGTTCGGGGCCCGCGTCGTGGTGTGAGTCGTTCGGGCTCCTCGTGGTGTGAGTCGTTCGGGCGCCTCGTCCTGGTGTGAGTCGTTCGGGCCCTTCCTTGTGGTGTGAGTCGTTCGGGCTCTTCGTGGTGTGAGTCGTTCGGGCTCCTCGTGGGGCCTCTTGGGGGCCTCTCTGGGGCCTCTTGGGGGCTCTCTCTGGGGCCTCTTGCCTCCTCTTGGGGCCTCTTGGGGGCCTCTTGGGGGCCTCTTGGGGCCTCTTGGGGGCCTCTTGGGGCCTCTTGGGGGCCTCTGGGGGGGGGCCTCTTGGGGGCCTCTGGAGGCCTCTTGGGAGCCTCCTGGGGGCCTCTTGGGGCTATCTTGGGGCCTCTTGCGACCTCCTCAGAAGCGCTAAGAAGCGCTGACCCCTGAGAAGGACAAAATGAGGCCAAAACCTTCGTAAAATCAATGATTTTGCTAAGAAGGAAGAGGAACGCGGCCCCCTCAGAAGGCCAAAATGGGGCCAAAACCGTAGTAAAATCAATGTTTTTTACTTCAACGACGAGTTCAGGCGCCAAACTCCCTCCCCCCCCTCGGGGCCAGAATCCTCGTGAGGGTCGTCGTTTTTTGGCCCTCCCAGGAGTCGAAAAAGACTCCCCTGACGACCCGCGGCCCGCCCTCTCCAGGCCCAGGGGGAGGGGGTAGGGGGAGGGGTAAACCCCTCCCCGAAGGGGAAGAAGGGGGGTTGAGGACAGAGAGAGCTCCCTAAACCACTCACGCCCGAAGGGCTGGTGGGACTCACACGCCGGATCGGCGGATTGTAGGAAGAGTTGGAGGACGACGAGAGGAGGACGAGGAGGAGGAGGAGGAGGAGGAGGAGGAGGAGGAGGAGGAGGAGGAGGAGGAGGAGGAGGAGGAGGAGGAGGACGCGAACGACGACGAGGAGGAGGAGGATGAGGGCCAGCAGGAGGATTCGCTTCGCTGGAGAGTGAGACATGTCGTTTGGGGGGCAAGAGGCTATTTCGCACTGATTTCGCCTGCGGATGGTCTTGGGATTATGTGTCTACGTGGAGTGTCGAGAGAGGGTTGGCACGAGAAACAGTTGGGGAAATGGAGGGGAGGGAACAACTTCTCCCCGGACTGTTTCTCATGCCAACCGAGCCCCTCGGACTTCGCCTCGACGTCGTCCTCACCTGTCGCGCCCTCGGGCGCCTTCAGCCGCAGCACCGCGCCGCCGTGCACGAACTCGACGGTGCCCTCCACGACTTGCACCTCCACGGACTGCTCGGCTGCCATCCGCCGTCGTTCCGCCTCTGCCGGCGCCATGGCCTCGGCCAGCAGCGCGCCGTCGCCATCGTCGCTCTCTGCGGAGCTGATGCCTCGCGGTGCTGCCGACACCGCACTCGCCTCGGGCACCAGAGGAGCGCCGCCCTCGGGCTCGTCCTCGCCGCAGCCGTCGCCGACGTCGCAGGCCAGCGCCGCGAAAAGCCCCCCACCGCACCCCGCCGCGGGCGCCGCGGGGGCGCGGAGGCGACGCGCGCGCACGGGCGCGCGGCCGCGGCGCCTCCCGGGCCCTGGGGGCCTCCGGGGTGGCGGCGGGCACTCCACCGGGCGCTTTAGCCTCGTCGTTGCCGCCACGGCCGCACGGCCGCCCGCCAGGCCCGCCTGCTCCACCGCGTCGGCGCTCCCGCCCGCGGCGTCGGCAGCCTGCCTCGGCAGAGGCCCGCTCGGGCGCCCGCGGCTGCAGCGGGTCCAGGAGCTCGCGCCCGCGCCGTGCCACGGCGGCCGCCGACAGCGCTCCCCGGGGGTGCCACCGCCACTGGCTGCGCCCACCGGAGCAGGATCGCGCCCAGCACCGCCGGCTGGGCCGCCCGGCAGGCCGCCCCGCAGCTGCAGCAGTGCCCCCCCCCCGGCGGGCAGCGCCCGCCGCCCGCGAGGAGGGGCACCGGCAACGAGGGAGGAGGGGAGGAGGACCCCCCGCGCCCGCGCACCCGCCCCACCGCGCGCCCCCCCCCCGGAGGAGACCCGACGCACGAGGGCGGCGCCATTGAGCCACACAGGTTACAGGGCTCTCACCCCCTTGGGGACCCCGAGCGGGGTCCGAGTGGGGCTTGAGCCAAAGTGGCAACGGTCTGCGTGGTGCAAGCCATGCGGTGTAAGTGGTGCAAACTATGTGGTGACGCGGCAACAAGGCGGCAACAAGGCGGCAACGTGGTGGAACCTTGCCGGACCCATCTGGCTCACGAGGCGGCAAGGAAGCGGCCGCTTGCGGCAAGGTGGCGAAACATCGCCAGACCCACCCAGCGCACGAGACGGCCACCAGGCGGCTACGGGCGGCAACGTGGCGAAACTTCGCCAGACACACCCAGCGCACGAGGAGGCCACGAAGCGGCTACGGGCGACAACGTGGCGAAACCTCGCTGGACCCCCCAAGCGCACGAGGCGGCCAGGAGGCGGCCAGGAGGCGGCAACGCGGTGAAGCATCGCCAGACCAGCCCTGCGCACGAGGCGGCCACGAGGCGGCCCCAGGCGGCCACGTGGCGAAGCCTCGCTGGACCCCTCGACCACGGGCGGCAGCGTGGCGAAACCTCGCGGGGCCCCCCAGAGCGCACGATGCGGCCAGGAGGCGGCCACGGGCGGCAACGTGGCGAAACCTCGCGGGGCCCCCCAGAGCGCACGATGCGGCCGGGAGGCGGCCACGGGCGGCAGCGTGGAAGGTGCTCGCCGGACCCATCCAGTTCCGTAGTGGTAGAGGTAAGAATCCCTCGGCTCACGTACTCTTTGTGGGAATTCAGAACGGAGTGAATTGCTTGGCTGCTCAAATGCCGAGACGTCAGGCGCAACAGCATGTCGAAGTGCGTAGCAGCTGCACAAAGTGTCCGAGATGGTTGGGGAACTCAACGCGTGGATTGCATTCGAGCCCGTTGCAAGAGCCATGCAATCAAGATGAGCTTCGTTTTCCATCAGCTCTGACTGTCTGGTCTATTTTGGAACGACTTCCAGAGTCGAAGACCTCCACGACAGGTAGAGCAGATCACCCCGCACTTGGAGTCAAGAAACACCCTGCTTGCCTCCAGGCTGCCCTGGGCTTCTTGGGTCTCGATGGTTTTGCTATGCGAGGCGTGACGTTCCAGCACCAAAGACCAATGGACGTCCTGGGGTCTCGGGGTCGGGTCTCTTGTGGAAGGTTCCTTGTGGACTAGCCTCCGCTGTACTTCTCCCGCGCCCCTGCCCTCCGCCCCACCCCCATCCCTTCTCCCTTTCCGCTCCCGCCTCCCTGCACATGGCGCGGCCTGCGAGGCGGCCTCGAGTCCAGCACCGGGAAGATCAAGCGCGAGACGCTCGTGCGCATTCTGCGCCAGGCCCCGCTTGCCGGGAGGGGCGCTCGCTCATAAGACATCAGACATCGATCTTGTCGGGTTGTTGTTCATGTCTTCCACCCCCCGCGGGGCAGCTTGGTCGCGAGGCACAGCGGATTGTGTCCAGCGGTTGTCAGCGCATCCCGCCACGCGCCAGGGTTGTGGGTCGGCAGCGCAGTGTCTGGAAGGCCAGGTGCGGTATCGGTGGCCCTCCTCCTTCTCCTCCTGCCTCCTTCTCACTCCTCCTCCTCCTCCTCCTCGTCCTCCTCCTCCTCGTCCCCGTTTCCGTTGCCATTTTGGCTCAAGTTCGGGACAGGCCCGTTTTGAGTGAGGCAGCCCTTCTCCCAGGGCCATCCAGCTGTCAAAGGCTGGCGGACACAGTCGTTTCCAGTGCTTCTCATGGCTGATGCAGTCCCTGCTGTGCCGGCCAGTACCCAGGAGCGCCAGATGCTTGCCGAGCTCGAAGCCATGCCCACCTTCCCCGACGGCGAGCGCTCGGGCAAGGGCCAGGGGACGGGCCGCTTCATCCAGCGCAAGCGGCAAGCCCTCGCATCGGCCTGCGCCGATGCTCCTGTTCCTTCTCTTCTCGATGATGACGATGACGATGGTGACTTTCTTCGGCAGCTGTGCAGAGAGGAATTTGCCTCCATGCGTGACACCATCACCACCGAGGTGTCCGAGTCCGTTGCTAAGACCATCACGTCCAACCACAACACGCTGCTCAAGATGCTGTCCTCCATGCAGGGCGAGGTGGCAAAGCAGTCCAGTGCCATTGAGGGCCAGGTTCAATCGGCGATTGCTCCCAGGCTCGACTCTCTCAACAGGCGCCTCCAGGCCCAGCTCGACGAGCAGAAGCGCAGCATCTCCGCGCTTGAGGGACGTGCTGACGCTCACGACAAGTCCATTCATGATCTTCAAGACCAGCTTGCCGAACTACGTCGCCAGATGGCCATCGCTGAGCAGACTCCTAGGAAGCAGCTTGCTGCTCCCACCTCATTCGACCGCGAGGAGGACACCACGATTGTCGTTGCTGTGTCGCAGCGCCCTACTACCCTGGCCTCAGTGGTCTCTTCGCTGCGCCCGTGGCTCGGCGAGATTGGCTTTGATGACGAACAGTACGTGATCAAGCAGAAAGGCGAGTCTCCTGCCAGGAGGTTCGAGATTTGCTTCACGGGCTCGGCCACCATTGCGTCGCGCCGTGCCAGCAAGGCCACGTCGCTCCTCAAGGGACCCGACGGCTGGAAGGAGTTCTGGGTCGACCCCCCTGGTGCCGAGCGCTGCCGTTTGCACCTGGGCCCCGACAAGTCGCCCAAGCGTATCAAGACCGAGGTCACTCTGCGCAAGGCCAGAGTGATTGTGGAGCTACAGTACCCTGGCAAGCGCTTTTACTCCGACCGCGAGCATGGCGTCCTCTCGATCGGCTGGGACAAGATCATGCACGTCAACGTCTTCCACGGCGACACCCCGCCCAAGATTTACTGGGACTCGACGCAGCTCGCCAAGCATGCCATGGCTATTGACACACTCCGCAATGCGGTCACGGAGCTCACGCACCCGTCCGACCCTAGCCAGTGGTGTCTTTAGCGCTGCTGGGCTATTTCATCTCCCTGCCCCGCCGCCTGGGTCCGCGGCGTCTACGTTTCGGATTGCTACTTGGAATTCTCGGGCACTTCTTCAGGCTGGCGGGGACAAGGCCATTCTGAAGAGAAAGTATGTTCTCAGTCTTCGTCCCCTCTCCACGGTCATCGCGCTGCAGGAGGTGCACCAGGACCACCTCCAGCTCGTCTCGTTCTTCAGCTCGATCGCGTCGGGCCTCACGATCCACTCCAGCTTCATTTCCGACGCGGATGACGGGCATCGGCGTGGTGGAGTTGCTGTGGTGCTGCCGCCGTTGGCTCGTCAGGGGTCCTCCTTGCCGACGACATCCTCCACTGTCTTAGTGCCAGGCCGAGCGATGCTAGTCCGTGTACGGGATGACTGCCGCACGCTCGACATCTTCAACGTTCACAATCATGGTCTGTCTGCCCAGCAAGTTCGTGGAGTGGCTGCCGCGATACGAGTATCGCAGCGTGCGGCTGCTCTCGACCCCGACATGTACACCACCTTTGTCCTCGGGGACTTCAATTTTGCCACGCACGAGGCTCTGGCGCTCGCTGCCCCTGCGGCGGCAGTGCGCAAGCAGTCGAAGTGCCACCACGTGCAGGCGCCCAAGTGGCGCCAGGCTCTCGCCCTCCTGACCGAGATTGCGTGCGAGGACCCCACGCACTACGAGAAGTTCAACGACTCGTGCGCGACGATCGACCGCGTCTTCTGCTCGATCACGGGCTGGCAGCTCTGCCAGCTGTATGTCCAGATTGGCACGCTTGGCACGCCGGCGGCTGTCTTCGACAAAAAGACCTCTGACCATGCTGCTGTTGTTCTCTCGCTTGCCTGCCGCCCGCCTCGACCTGTGGAGTCTCGCCCCATATCCAAACACCTGTTCTCGGAGCCTGGTTTCAAGAGGCGCCTGGAAGGGCTATGCTCTATTATCCCGTGGGACTCCATGTCGCCTCCGTTCAAGGTAGAAAAGTACAAGGAGCTTTTGAAGATTTCAGCCGCGGAGACCAGGGACACCCTCTTTCGGGACAGGCCGCACCACCCGCACACCTGCCTGCTGCTCGCTCGTGCTCTGGCCCGTGTTGTCTGGAGGCAAGACCTGCGTATGGCTTCCAGGCTCCAGGACTCCCACCCCCTGGCCATTGACATGATTTCGATCACCAACGGGAAGGTCGAGCTCCGCCACCCGCCGTCCTTCCAGGCATGGGTCGACCAGGTCCAGACTGAGGCTGCCGAGTCCGCGAAGGCAGAACTTGAAGATCGCAGACGGCGTGAAGGCGACCGCGTCCAGATTCGTGCCCAGGTTCGTGCGCTTGAGCGGCGCGCTCGTCTCTGGTCCCCTCTCAATCGCAGGATCTCGCTCTCAGCGGTTATCGCGCCAGATGGCTCTTCGGTCAGCGTGCCCTCTGACCGCCTGCGAGTGCTCTCGGAGCACTGGGCCCCCGTCTTCCAGAAAAAGCCGTGGGGCGGTGCTGCTGCTGCTCCCTACCTTCGCCGCCTTGCTCCTGACCTTCCTGCCGACCTACACCTGCCCTCGCCGTCGAAAAATATGCTACGTCGAGCAATGCGTTCTGCCCAGCACTCTGCTCCTGGTCCTGATGCTCTCCCATGCGCTGCGTGGGCTGCGTCCTCGTGGGGGGCTGACATCTTGTGGGACGCCCTTGGTTGGGTGCTCAGTGGCCAAGAACTCTTTGCGAACGCTAGCGACACGATCCAGATTTTTCTGCCCAAAAGCGTCACGGACTTGGAGCTCCGCGATGCCAGCTGTTCCCGCTCCCCCGACAAGGTTCGAGTCTTGGGCCTTAGGAACTGTGACCTGAAGCTCATCTCCTCCACCGTCAACCGAGCGATCCGCCCTGCCTTGGTTTCCCTCGCCCCGCCGTGCCAGCGTGGATACATACCCGGTAGGAATTTCGGCAACAACATCCTCGAGCTCGACGTTTCGAGTCGTCAGATGTCGGTCGTACCTCACGGGTCTGCTGATATTCCTGTATTGTACTCCCTGGACTTCGGCCAGGCCTTCCCGTCTCTGAATCAGGACTTCCTCATTCTCTCCCTTAGGGCCCTCAAGCTGCCCGAAGCCTTCGTGTCCTTCGTCACGTTCCTCTATGCATCGGTGGAAGGGGTCGTCTCGCACCTAGGCACGCTAGTTCACATCTTCTGGATCCAGAGCGGCATCATCCAGGGTTGTGCCTTATCGGGCACTCTGTATGCGTTAAGTACGGCTGTCTTCTTGATTGACCTGGCCTCTCGTGTGGAGGCCGCTGGCCTTGGCCTGGTTCGGGCCTGTGCAGACGACATTGGGGGCACTTTATTGGCCATACGGCACCTAGTACATGTGTATCGGGTTATGCAGATGGCCTCGGACCTGGCCAACCTCGCCCTGAAGGTCTCGAAATGCAAGATTGTCCCGTTGTCTGACAGGTTCTCGCCCGACCTCTCAGCCACAGTCTCCTTCTGGGTCTCCCATGTGGTCCCCGGGTGGAGCTCGTTCGAGGTGGCTCCGAAGTTGCTCTACCTGGGCCTTTGGCTGGGTCCCGCCGTCGTTCCGTCCACTTGCTGGATCGATCCCGTCGCCAAATTACGTCTCAGGGCCCAAGCCATTGGACGGGGAACCACTCCTGCCAGCCTTTCCGCTACACTATACAATACACGTGCCGTTACGACCATATCCTACGTCGCCCAATTCTGTTGGCCGCCATCAGCAGTGCTGCAACCTGAGTTGGCGACGCTCGCGCAGGTGTTCCGCATCCCGCTCGGCACATTCGCTCTCGACTTCTGGGCGCAGATCGCGCAGTGGGGCGGCCCGCGCTGCACGCGGTGGGGGCACCTGGCCGTCGCCACCATCACGCGTGCTGCTCTGCACACTTTCCCATGCTGGGATAGGCTCCTCCAGCAGATGCGGAACCGCGCGCGCTCCGCCCCGAACGATGCCACCTTGTCCATGCTGGCGACTGGCAAGCCGTACCCGTCCTTCTGGTTGGCCCCCGCCTTCGTGGAGAATCTGGCGCTGGCCGCCGCTGGCACCCCTCCCCCTGGCCCGTTGGCCGTCTTTGGTGCACGTGCTGCCGACGCTGCGCTGGCTGAACTTCGAGAGAGCGGCCGTCCTCGACCTCGCCCTCAGAGAGCTGCTCACGAAGCGCTACGGGCCTTCGCGATGCTGAACAGGCCCATCACCGACCTCTTCGTGATCCGCCTGAGGAAGTTCGCTGGCAGATCGTCGGGCCTCCTCTCGAACATCGACTGGGGCGAGTGCAAGGGCGTCCTCGCCCGCTGCCCGTGCTCATGGGCTTTGGCCGTCCTGCGCACATGGTCTGATGGTTGGATGACCTCGGCCCGTATCATCTCACCCGACGGCCAGAAGCACTGCGTATTTGGTTGTCTGGGCAAGCTCGACTCGTTGAGGCACTACGCGAGATGTCCTGTCATGCACCGTGCCCTTCGGCAAGCACTCGCGAGACCGATACCGCTGCCGTGGATGGCCTGCTGGGGTTTATCTGAACCATCGCTGGCCACTTTCTCTGCGTTGGCTGCCGCGTACAGCATGTACAACGAAGCGAGGCTGGCGCCCGTGTGGCCGCTGTCCCCGTCCCTCCTCCGTAGCTGTGCTCTCGCTGGTGTTCGTTCGATGCTACTCGCGTCGCCGTTGAAGTGCTCGGAGATCGACCGCGAGCAGCTCGGCCGGCGGGACTACCTCATTCGCAGCTCTTCTTCGTCTTCATCCTCGGGGTCGTCTCCACGGCTCACGCCAGCAGTTTCGTCATCGGACAGCGACTCGGGCACCGTCTCCACAGCCATTGCCACGATCCCGTCGGACCCCGATGCTGCTGATGTTGTTCAGGTCCCCGCGACGGGTTCAGATACGTGCTGTCCTTCGGCTTCGGCGACTCCCCCCCCGCCTTCCTCTGCGCCCCCGACGATGGCGCGCTCCCCATCGACTCAGAGGGCGGCCCCATCACCGTCAATGCCTTTGAGAACTCCGCGTATGGCGCCCGCCTGCTCGTCAATTTCGCCGCCGTCCCCGATTTCGCCCTGCTCATGTGTGTCGCCGTCCTCGCCAGTGACGTTGTCGTCTGGGGGTTCTTCAGCCTCGTCGCCTTCCATCGGCGTTAGATCGCAAGTCCCGTTGTCGTGTTCGGGCTCACTGTCGCCAAGTGCTGGATGCCTCATGTCGCCCCAGCTGGGCCCTGGCGTTAGATCGCAAGTCCCGTTGTCGTGTTCGGGCTACACGTCGCCGCATGCTGGATGCCTCGAGGGAGACCACCTCTCCTGTGGCGTTAGAATGCAAGTCCCGTTGTCGTGTTCGGGCTCGCCGTCGCCACATGAATGTTGCCGTGATTCAGGACGCTTGTCCGTCGGCGTTAGATCGCAAGTCCCGTTGTCGTGTTCGGGCTCGCAGTCGCCACGTGTCGGACGAAATCCAGAGACTCTGGAGGCTCCCCGCCGCTCGACGCAACCATCGCCCCCGTCTCCAGCGCGATCCGCGACGCCGATGACCACGGGCCCTCCGATGTCGCTCTCTCCTTCGGTGTCGCCGACGACAGGGATGACTCCCCCGTCTTCGCCATCGGAGAGTGCGGCCGAAAATGAGCCTTCTGTATCTACGCTCCCCGCCACGTCCTTCGCTCCGTTTTCCGTCGCCCCGTTCGCCCCGCTCTTCCCTCCCACGCCCTGCGCCACGCATGCCATCTCGCCCGATCCGCCATCCTCGTCCCTTGAGCCCTCTTTGCTGCTGCCCTCTGCCGTCTCCCCTCGCTCCCCGCCCTTGCTGATCACCATGCCGCCTGTCTGTCTCGTCGCGGGCGCTCCGCCCCCTGTCGTCGAGCCCGCCGCAGGTGCGCTCGGCCCCGCCGCGTAGGCGGGTGGAGCGAACCCTGGGTACGCTGGGCTCCTCGTCCCCGTTTCAGGGGCCTCGGTGCCATAGGCGCGGTGGTCGCGTTTCATTTTGTATGCACGTTCTGAATGGATTTCTGGGCTAACAGAACGTTGCAAATGTTTCCCGTCACAGGGGAGTCGGTGTCTCAGCTGGCCCCCTTCTGAGTAGAAGCATCCCCAAACATTTTTACGATGGCTGTTCCTGCGTGAGGGGATCTGGGCTGCATCTCCCACTTTGCGCACCATCTGGCCCCCCTTTCCAGCCCTCCCTTCATCCACAGGTCCATCCAGGTCAACCTCGGGGGAGCGAGGAGGATCGCGCTTCGCTCGTCGCGGCTTGGGCTGGGCAGCTGCCCCCATCCATGGGGGGCGGCGCGAGGGCGCGGGGGCGCGAAGATGAGCGCGCGTCGCGCATCACGGGGCGCGGTGCGCGCAGTCAGGTGACCTTGTTCTTTCTTCCCCTCCCTCGCCCAGCCATGCGTCCATGCAGGGGGGAAGGGGGAAACGAAGGGAGGGGACGAGGAGGGGGAGGACGAGGAGAGGGGAGAGAGAGAGCGGGGAGGAGCGGGGACGGAGCCGGAGGAGGAGGGCCCAGTGTTCTCAATTGTGCGCGGTGGATGTGTACACCGTCTGCTGCAGTTGGGGAGCAGCGTTGCCATGCTGTGGAGTGAACGCTGCATGCCATTGGATATTCCTCGATGTTCCAATGCGGCACCTTGGGGTGTTCTCGGGAGCCTCGTTGGGGAGTGGGGGAGACTCAGTGGTGCCTTTACGGGGCTTTCGGGGGCGTGCTGGGAGTCGAAGGGGTACCTTGGGCGGGGAGGAGGAGGTTGGAATCCTAAACTGCACGCAGGGTGCACTCGCGGTCCCCCTTCTGATGCCCTCTTTGGGCCAGGCTTCGCAGAGGAGTTTGAGTGTGAGTTTCCATGTGCAGTCGGTGCGCGTGCGCAAGTCGACCCTTTAACATCAGGACATCAGGATTACCTTCATACACCACCAGTTCCTCAGCATCCTCCTGCTCTCGTCGCACCCTGTTTTCCCTCGGAGGAGTCTCGTGTCTTGGATGCGGTGTCGTGTGCGCGCCGATTGTAGGACATCGGTTGAATTCATGACCAAAGTCTGTGCACTGATTGAATATTCTTATGCGCCCTCAGAAATTGTTTATTCCTCCACTTAACTCGCATCCGATTATTTCTCTCCACTGTTGCTTCTGCTGCTCATCCTGTTGACTCGTCTTCTCCTCATCACTGCTTCCCGTCAATGTCCTGGCATTTTCCCCAGGACGGACAAATAATGGAGAGGATTTCGAAGCAGACTGGCTTGGAGTTCGACGAGACAGACGGCTCACGCTGGTCCGACTGCCCCATTGTGATTTGTGTGAGAAAGAGCGCGCCCGCAGCGCCGGGAATAAGGAAAGTGGGGCCCCAGCTTCAAGCTACCCGCCCCCCCTCCCTTCCCAAAGGGGGGGGGAGCTTCCGAAGCTTCCCCCCCACTCTTCTGCAATGGTTTCTAAGCTAGGGGGGCCCTGGCTAAAGAAGTGGGGGCTTCGAAGCTACCCCCCCTCCCTCTCTTTTTCGGAGCAGAAGGTGAGCCCAGGCTTCCCTTTCAAAGGTGGGGGGGTGTCTTCGGAAGCTACCCCCCCTCCTTCGTTTTTTGGTCTGGGCACAGGAGGGGGCGGCTCCAAGCTACCCCCCTCCACCTTCCTTTGCAAAGGGGGGGTCTTCCGAAGCTACCCCCCTCCTCCCTTCCGGGGTCATGGTACAATGGCTGAGTCCCTGCAGGCAGGTGCGCGCCGCAACGCTAGAGAACGCATTGGAGAATAACGTCGACCCCTGGTTAGTTTTCTTGTTTGCTTGTTTTCTCGGCCCCTGGTTCGTAGTCTCGTTTTCTCGGGCCCTGATTCCTTTTTTTTCGTTTTCTCGTTTTCTCGGCCCCTGGTTCGTTTTCTTGTTTTCTCGTGTTTTCGGCCCCTCGGTCGCGGTCTCGTTTTCTCTGACCTTGGTTAGTGTTTTCGTTTTCTCTGCCCCTGGGCCGTAGTCTCGTTTTCTCGGACCCTGCTTAGTTTTCTCGTTTTCTCATTTTCTCGCCCCCTGGGTCGTGGTTTTGTTTTCTCGGGCGCTGGTTAGTATTCGCGTTTTCTCGTTGTCTCGGCCCCCGGTTGGTGGTCTCGTTTTCTCTGACCCTGTTTCGTTTTCTCGTTTCCTCGTTTCCTCGGATCCTGGGTCGTGGTGTCTCGTTTTCTCTAACCCTGGTTAGTTGTTTGTTTTCTCGGCCCCTGGATGGTGGTCCCGTTTTCTCGGGCACTGGCTCGGTTTCTCGTGTTCTCCGTGTCTCGGCCCCTGAATTGTGGTTGATTTTTTTCTGACCTTGGTTCGTTTTCTCGTTTTCTTCTTTCCTCGGCCCCTGGGTCGTGGTCTCGTTTTCTCGGGCGCTAAATTGCTTTCTCGTTTTCTGGTTTTCTCGGCCCCTGGGTCGTAGTCTCGTTTTCTCGGACCCTGGTTCGTTTCACGTTTTTGGTTTTCTCGGCCCCTGGGTCGTGGTGCCATTAGCTCGGATTGTGGTTCGTTTTCTCGTTTTCTCATATTCTCGGCCCCCGTGTCGTGGTCTGGGTTTCTCTGACCCTGATTCGTTGTTTTGTTTTCTTGTTTTATCGTCCCCTGGGTCGTGGTCTTGTTTTCTCTGACCCTGGTTCGTTTTCTCGTTTTCTTGTCTTCTCGGCTCCTGGGTCGTGGTCTTGTTTTCTCTGACCTTGGTTCGTGTTCTCATTGTCTTGTCTTCTCGGCTCCTGGGTCGTGGTCCAGTTTTCTCGGACCTTGGTTTGTGTTCTCGGTTTCGCGATTGCTCTGCCCTTTGGTCGTGGTCTCGTTTTCTCGGACTCCGTTCCGTTTTCTCGTTTTCTCGGCCCCCGGGTTGTGATTTCGTTTTCTCGGGCCCTGCGTTGTTTGTTTGTTTTCTTGTTTTCTTTGCCCCTGGGCCGTGGCTTGGTTTTCTAGGACCACGGTTTGTTTTCTCGTTTTCCCGGCCTTGGGGTCGTGGTTTTGTTTTCTCTGACCTTGGTTCGTGTTTTCGTTTTCTTTGCCCCTGGGTCGTGGTCCCGTTTTCTCTGACCCTGGTTCGTGTTCTCGTTTTTTGTTTTCTCAGCCCCTGGGTCGTGGTCCAGTTTTCTCGGACCCTGGTTATTTTTTATCGTTTTCTTGTTTTCTCGGCCCCTGGGTGGTTGTCTCGTTTTCTCAGACGCTGGTTTGTTTTTTTCGTTTTCTGGTTCTCTAGGCCTCTGGGTCGTAGTCTCGTTTTCTCGGACCCTGGTTCGTTTCACGTTTTCTGGTTTTCTCGGCCCCGGGGTCGTGGTGTCGTTAGCTCGGATGTTAGTTCGTTTTCTCGTTTTCTTGTGTTCTCGTCCCCTGGATCGTGGTCTCGTTTTCTCGGACCGATATTCGCGTTTTCTCGGCCTGGGTCGTGGTCTCGTTTGCTCGGACCTTTGTTAGTTTTCTTGTTTTCTCGTGTTCTCCGCCCCTGGGTCGTGGTCTTGTTTTCCCTGACCCTGGTTCGTTTTCTTGTTTTCGTGTTTTCTCGGCCCTTGGGTTTTTGGTTCGTTTTCTCGGCCCCTGGTTCGTTTTCTCGTTTTCTCGGCTCTTGGGTCGTGTTGTCGCTTTCTCGGGCCCTGGTTCGTTGTCTCGTTGTTTCGTTTTCTCGGCCCCTGGGCCGTGGTTTCGTTTTCTCGGGCACTGGTTTGTTTTCTCGTTGTCTCGTTTCGTCGGCCCCTGGGTCGTGGTCTCGTTTTCTCTGACCCTGGTTCGTTTTCGTGTTTTCTCTGCCTCTGGGTCGTGGTCTCGTTTTCTCGGACCCTGGTTTTTTTTCGGAACTTGATTCGTTTTCTCGTTTTTTTCGTTTTCTCTGCCCCTGGGCCGTTGTCTCGTTTTCTTGGACACTGCTTCGTTTCCTCGTTTTCTCAGCCCCTGGGTCGTGGTTTCGTTTTCTCTGACCCTGGGTCGTCGTCGTCGTCGGTCATGCGTCATCCGTCGCCCGTCGCCGTCTTCGTATGAACTCGTCCTCGTCGTGACGACTACTACGAGGTCATACGAAGACGGCGACAATGACGGCGACGGCGGCGGCGACGACGACGAGGACGACGACGGCGTCGTACGAAGACGTCGAGCGACGGCGACGGCAACGACGACGGCGACGTGGGAGGATCGTCTGGCAGGGAGAGTTCAAGGGAGGGGGGTGGTGGCTAAGCGGCCCATTCCCTTTTGGAAAGGGCGGGAGGGAGTGGAGGGGAGCTTCCGGCAGTGAAGCAGAAAAAAGAAAAATGGAGGGAAGGGGGGGGGGCTTCCGGCACAGGGGGGTCAACAAGGAAGGGGGGGTAGCTAGCTCCCTCCCCTTTGCAAAGGGGGGGAGGGGGGGAGGGTAGTTTCCGGTGCGAAGGGGGGGAGGGGGGGGGACCAGAGGGAAGGGAGGGGGGGGGGCTGTTAAGCCCCCCCCCCCTTTGGAGGGAGGGGTCCCCGTTGGTGGGGTAGCTTCCGGCAGAGGAAGCTAGGGGGGGTAGGGGGTAGCTAAGCCCCCCCCTCTCCCTTTGGAAAGGGGGGGAGAGAGGGGGGGTAGCTTCGGAGCGGCGAAAGGGGGGGAGGGGGGGGGTAGCTTCGGGGGGGAGGCGAAAAAGGGGGGGAGGGGGGGGGGAGCTTCCAGCAGGGAGGTGGAAGGGAGGGGGGGGTAGTTAAGTGGGGACCCCCCCCTTATGCTCCGGCGCTGTGGGCGCGCTCTCTCGTATGTGACATGTGAGTCCCGAGCTGACAGCTTCAGGCATTAGGCCACTCCTCCCTCGCGAGGCCCCGTTCAGGACGCTTGTAGGGGAAGGATCGCAGCCCTTTTGGCTCGAGGCCAGCAGTGACTTGCATTCACTCTCTCACTCAATCCATCCGTCCCCGCAGCTACGTCTCCGACGTTCCTCTCGCAGCGCGCGAGTGCCGTTGTGAAGTGACTGCACGTGTGTGTGTGTGTGTGTGTGACGCGCCCGTCGTGGTCGCCTGTCGGGCGATCGTGGCCCTGGAGCTTGGGGGAGCTCCAGTCCGAGGAGCGGGTCTCGGTGGCAGCAGCGGGGTTGGATGGTAGCCTGGACTCGTCGCACGCGCCAGGGGAGCAGATGGCGGCAGCGTGAATTGCCTGCCCCGCTTTCGCTTCCAGGGAAAGCCAAGTCATACCACGCGCCTCCTCGTCAAGCGAGCTGACCAGTACAGGCCGTAGTTTGGCATCGCTTGGCATCTCTTGGAAGCGAGGGTGGTCAAAGGCAAGGTAGGTGTGTTTTCCTCCGGAGATGGCAGCGCAGGCAGCGCAAGCAGTGTCAAGCAGTCGAGAAGTGCTCGTGAGCGGGCCGCTCGCGGAGGCCCATGGTCCAGAGGACCTTGGCCAGCCGTGCGTCCACAGCACGGATGCCTCTGCATGCTGCTGCACGAGGCACAGGAGCGCCGTGGCGTGCTCAGGGATCCTTCGGCGCATCTTGCGCGAGTCGTTCTCACACGGTTCGTCTGTTCGAAGGACGTGTAGAGGAGGGCGTGTCGATACGGGGTCCTAGGACGGCGGTGCCGCTGGCTCCAGACATTCTGAAACTAGCCGAGAGTCGAGCTTGTGTTCATCGCTGTGTTGGCCGTTGCACGTTGGTTTTACAGCACCTCACTTGTTCTTTTCACCACCTTTCTGCACTGAAGTGGTGGACGTATCCTTCACTGCGCGTTCCGATTTCGTTCGCAATTCGCACTTACATCTGCTGACCGCGCCTGAAGCTCCTTTGCGCCGCCAACTTCAAAAAGTGTGTACGTGTGCGTGTGTGCGTGTGTGCGTGCGTGTGAGCGTGTGTGAATGTGTGTGTGTGTGTGTATGTGTGTGTGCGTGTGTGTGTGTGTGTGCGTGTGTGTGTGTGTGTGAGTGTGTGTGTGTGCGCGTGTGTGTGCGTGCGTGTGAGCGTGTGTGTGTGTGTGTGTATGTGTGTGTGTGTGCGTGTGTGTGGGTGTGTTGTGTGGTGTAGTGCGTGCGTGTGCGTACAGTTGAGTGTGTTGTGAGGGAGGTGAGTGCGGTGTGTGTGGTGTGTGCGCGTGTGTGTCGTGGAAGTGCGGCGAGTGGTGCGTGCCGTGCGGGCGTACAGTGCGTGCGAGTAGTGCGTGCGTGTGTCTGTGTGGCGTGTGTGTGTGTGTGTGTGTGGTGGTGTGTGTGTGTTTGTTGTGTGTTTGTGTGTTTGTGTGGGCGAGTATGTGTGTGTGTTGTGAATGTGTGGTGTGTATGTGTGTGTGGGCTCGGAGTTGCGTGGCGTGAGTGCGCGTGCGTGTGTGTGTTGTGGGTGGGTCGGTTTTACCCTG